AAAGTTCTGTGTCCACCTTGTGTGCTCCGGGCCAGGAGGGAAGTTCTATCACTGGGTGTAATACCAGGATCTCAGACAGCACTGTGTGCCCTGGAGAGGAGTCACTTTTATGGGGCTACCTGGGAGTAGCCATGGTCTCATGGAGATAACCAAGTCTTCACAAGCTTGAGTACCTAGGAGCCAACCCCCCTAGAATCCTTTTGAATTAGAGTCAACCCGCTAGAATCCTTCTGAATTATGTCACTGCAATCCTAATGTGCTCTTATAATCCCATGGTAGCTTTTGCATGGGAATTAATCCCACTGTACTCTAACAGAGTTGTGTGTTCTTCTGTATGACTTGAGACCAGAGGCTTCACCCTATACAGGGGATAGGCTGGTGACCAAAAGGGAAACATCTCATTGAATGTGGCATTTGTCTGGAGGGCCAGTCCCCACAGAAAGGGACCCTACCACTACACTACCCTGAAGTGCAGTGCTGTTGTGAGGTCAATAGCTACTGTTAATCAGTACAGTTTTAGGGACATCTATGTACTAGGCACCAAGTTTTCAGTGTGCTTTTGTCTTTTCTGTTGATTCATGACGATTTATTTACAATTGAGGAAATGGAGGTTCAGAGGTTAGAAAACTTTCCCGAGGTCATACAGATGGTAAGTAACAGAACTAGGGTTCAAATGCAGATCTGTCTGACGCCAGAGACTATGCGCTTACATTAGCCAGGTAACAGAAGTGCTCAGAAAGCATGAAATGATGATACTCTTATGATTTACACAACAGGCTGGATTGGGTTTGATACTCATCCTCGGGAGGAGCCGTCACTGCTGCTCTTCTAAAAGAGGCGGGGTATGTTCTGGGGGTTGGGTCCTGGGAGTCTCTTCATATTCTCTCTGTAGATGTCCTCTGGGAACCAGGGGCCATGGGTTTGAAGCTGCTTCTGCCAGTTCAGCTATTCCTCGCAAATGGGCATCAGTAAAATGGCAGAATGTCCTGTCATTGGCTCTGAGCAGCAAATGAGATAATTGTGTCTTGCAAAGCTGGCCACCCTGTCATCTCGTTTCCATGTTTGATGGGGTTCCTAAAAATTGGTACCATTTGTTGAATACTCCCTTGTGCTCCTTTTCAAGGAGTTTTGCTCTAAACGGAAGGAGAGAAATGAGGTGGTACCTGGAGGGAAAAGTGAGGTTAGGAGAGGCTTTTTTTTTTTTTAAATAAATAAACCAATGAATGAATGAATAAACAAATAAATAATAAGAGCATGTTTGTATGCTGAACTGAATGATCAGTAGTGAGGAGGCATATGATGAAATGGGAGAGAGGGGAAAGATGGCTACAGTTATGTCCTCAAGTAGGTGAGAGGGGAATAGATTTAAAGCACAGATATAAGTAATGGCTGTAATCGGACATTTGGCTGAAATCTGGATATCCCATACTTACGGAACCCTCCAGGCCCTACCCCATAGGAGGGAGACTGTGGGTCTTGGGGAAGAGCCTTGGACTGAGCCAGGGGGACTGGATCTCCAATGGCCCTGTGCTTCCTCCGGAGGGGCCTGGAACAGGCTGGATAACTTCTATGAGCTTTGGTTTTGGTCTTCTTGTAAAATGAAGATGATTTTACCTGTTCCACAGAGTTGCAGCAGGTATTAAACAAGATAATGTAAGCAGGGCACTTGGCATGGAAAATAAAAGTGATTTCAATTCCATCATCGAGAGATAACCATGTTTACCATTTTGATATATTTTTGCACCAGTCTTTTTCCAACTTAATATAAATACATACTTAAAAATACTATTGTTCTTTGCATACTGTTCTGTAACATGCTTTTAGCACTTAAATATAATGAGGACAATTTTCCATGTCGTTAAATATTTTTCTATAATATCATTTTTAAAATGTATGCAGATCATTACAGTAGGTGGACTTACCATACTCTATTTTAACCAATTCCTGTTGTAGACATCATAGAAGTTGTTCCTTACTATTTTCTATTATAAATAGCACTGTTACACACTTCCTTTTGGCTGTATTTTCTCATACATCGATGGTTATTTCCCTGTGGAAGTTTTTGGGAAATGGAATTGCAGCTGAACTGTGGACAAGCTCTTTTACCTTGCTACAGATAGAGGAAGAAGAGGATTTAGGGGATAGCACAGACGGTAGAGTGAAGTGTGGTACCCAAAGGGTGTTGATGAATGGGTTGCTGTTGTTCTGGAAGCAGGGCTCTGGGGGTCTGAGATAAATCTCTAGATGTGGCCTTTCTCCTTTAACAATTTAATTGCTGCTCTGGTTTAAGACATGAAGGCAAACTTACCAAATATGAGGGAGCTGTGAAGCTGACAAGGAAATGTTGAATAATGGAATCAAGATGCAAGGGAGACCCTTAGTGGCAGGAAGAATGGGCTGAAGCAAACAGGAGAGACTGACTAGGGAAAACTGTACTGTCTTAACAGTGATAAATCTAGACTATAGATGTTGGGGCTAGAGGAGAGCTGGATGAATGTCAGGTCATGCCAAAAAGACACAGGGGTTGGTGTGATGTGGTTGCCCCCCAAACTCATGCAAAACAACCCAATAGACCTCAGGTGGTATCAATTTGAGTATAGTGTCTAGACCACGTATCAGTGGAATGTTGGTGAGATGGAGCTCAGCCAGAAAAAAAGTGGTCAGGCTGGGGAATGATTTAGACCAGGCTGTGCAACAGAAATATAATGCAAGCCATGTCTATCTGTCTATCTGTCTATCTATCTGTCTGTCTATCTATCTGTCTAAAATTAAAATTTTTCTAGTAGCCAGTATTATATTTTAGATAACCCAACCTATCCAAAACATTATCATTTCAGCATGTAATCAATATAAACAAATTATTAATAGATATTATTCTGTTTTTCCCCTTAAGTGCTAAGTCTTTGAAATCCAGTGTGTACCTTACACTTCCAGCACATCTCAGTTCAGACTCTAAATTTTCAATGGTCAAAGTGAGACTGAAACAAAAGTGTGTATTTAGTGGGAAAATATTTCATACTGCTTTTGTTTTTAAATTTAAAATTTAAATAATTAAAATTAAGTGTAATAAAAATTGAGATCCTCCGTTGCACTAGCAACACTTCAAGTGCTCAATATCCCCATGTGGCCAGTGGCTGTCGACATTGGACAGCGCAGGTCTGTACCCTGTGGATGCTACTCAAAGTGTGGTCCATGGACCAACAGCATCTGCATCCCCTGGGAGGTGATTAGAGATGTGGATGTTTAGGCCCCACCCCGAACTCCTGAGTCAAAATTTGCATTTCAGCAAATTCTCTAGATGCTTCCTGTGCTCACTACCATTTGAGAAATAGTGATCTAGATGTCAGGTGATGATTTGGGGAATTTCTGAAGAAACTGTGTGTGTTTTGCATGGGAAAAGGAAGCCTCAGGAGACTGTGATAACAGACTTCAAAATATTTAAAGACCTGTATGTGGGAGGTGGGAAAGATGTGCTCTCAGGTGGAAGAACTAAGACCACAGGTGGAGGTAGGGCTGGGGTGGGAGAAAGGGAACTGAACTTTTTAGAGCTTCCGTAGTTAGTCTTACTTAATCCTTGTTACAAAATAACTGGACTTGGAGTTAAGTCAGACAGTCTGAGTTTGAATCTCACCACTGCTAATCACTGTGCATCTTGAAGGGAGAATTACTTAGCCACTCTGAGCCTCAGTTTACTGTCTGTAAAATGGGAAAAATAATAATCCACCTGCCAGGGCTAATGTAAAGACTGTGTAGGCAAGGACCATACTCACAGTATTTACCACACCCTTTCTGAGCCCGGCACAGACCTGGCATAGATTCAGCCCGCAATACCGATTTCTCTGTAAACCAGGCAAAGCTCTGATGTGTGAAGGATGGCTATTACTGCTATTAGCAGCAGGCTTGTGGTTTGGGCGACAGGTTGCGTTTTTCAGTAGACACAAATGAACCCTGCCCCTGCGCACCTTCATCCCACTGAAAGCCCATGTTTATTTACAGCCCCAATTGATCTGGATCGATCTATCCTCAAACCTTTTCATCAGGAGGGTGAAAATAGAAAAGCAGGGAGGGGAGATCGGGGCTCCTCCACTTTCCCTTGCTCAGCAGGTGGTGCCAGGTCTCTGGCCACTTCCCCACAGTTGGGGTAAAATATCTCCAAAGCATGGTACTGGGTCATTCCAAAAGGGGGAGGAACCTGGCCCATCAGAGCATTTCTCTGCTAAAGATCTCATTGCAGACTCGCCAAGCCACATCTGTGCTCTGCTCTGTCAAGTAAACAAAGAATATCTACAGCTCTCAGGCAGGCACTAACATTAGCCAAGTGAGGGCTGTTTGGGGACCAGGGAAAGGAGGCTCGCATTTGAAAATGAACTACCGTACGTGGATTTATCGCATTGCTTTTCCGATGGAGAGGGGGAAGTATTTTTCTCTGGGAGATTAGAATTTACTAGTGGATTCAAGTGTAACTTTGGAGAGTGGCAGAGGCATTAGATGTGGCAGTATCACAGTATTATTTTATTGGCAATTAGATTTCAAACTGGCATGTATGTATGAAAATAAGTCTCAATTATGGGCCTGCGAATTTTCTCCACCATCTGTCAGCAGTTTGCTCCTTATGCCACAACATGTGTACCTTTGGAGGGAAAATGATTTAATAGCCCAAGTCAAGAGGTACAGCTCACCAAATTATATTGGAGTTTATAGTCAAGGACTGCATTTGTGATTTATGATGCAGAGAAAGCAAATAGAAACTTCCGTGCATGTGTGCACGCATGCACACGCGTGCACACACACACCCACACACACTTCAGGGTCTCACAGATGTCAAAGATGGAGAATACCTTCAAAAGGAGTGAGCTTAACTTCTTCACTTTACAATTGGGAAAAATCAAGTCCCAGAGAGGGCCAGGGACTTGTCCAAATGACACTGTGACAGGGGCAGAGCTGGAACTATAACCAATAGGAAACTTAGGGTTGGGGCAGTGGTGGGTTAGTAAATGTGTAACTACCTCTGGGAAAATGAAAGCCCTGATGTGTAGTGCTTGTCTATTCCTATGATGTAAATACTTTCATGGTGGTGATTTCACACCAATGTGATGCCACTGAATATGGAGTTTGGAAGGGATGTACAGTTGTCTCTCATAAGCCTAGTTCTGTAGTTCCAGTGTACCATTGTTAAGGGGAATGAAATTGCTTAGGGAAATTTGTGGTTTGCCTGTCCAGCATCTGTTTCCCCTTCTAGTAAGAGTGCCCTAATTTTTCCTGAGGGCATCCACCCCTACCATGTTTTTGACCTACATAATTTGGGTAGGGTGATCCCATCCAGGTCCAGGAGTGGCACATGACCCAGGCCTGGGCCAATAAATGTATTTTAATCTCCCTGGACATTGATTGGTTCAGGGATGGGCTTGTGGCCCAGTTTGGCTCTGGGAGTCAGGCCCAGGACCTTTGTTTGAATTGGTGGTCTTAGAGCTATGAAGGAGTGCCCTGGATCTAGTGGTGGCCAGCTTGCCACCATGAGAGAAGAGGCTGTCTGAGAATGAAGACAAACACAGAGGAAAACAGAGCTGAGAGACAGAGAGAATAGAAAGAATGGGCCCTGAGTAAATTATTTGCTTCTGGATCTGTCCTGTCCCAGCTTCCAGTGTAATTTCTGGACTTTCTGAGAATCAGTGAACATGTTTCTTTATCAAGCATGTTGCTTCTGGTGGAAAGAGGCCTAACTAATGAGTTTGTCCCTGAGAGTTATACTAGGAAATCTCTAGAGCCTTTGGGACCAGATGCTTGTTGGTAGAGGTTGAACTCCATGAGGCCACGAATGTTGTCTCTCTTGGGCATCATTGCTTTTACAGAACCCAGAACGTGCCTGACATATGGGAAATGCTCAATAAATATTAGTGGAACATCTTGTATCAGTCAGGTTTACTGTATTATGATACAGTAACAGACAGCTTATAACAACAAAGTTTTATTTCTCAAAATCTTTTGTCATTTATGTTGGTTGCAGCTCTGCTCCATGTATCTTCATCTTAGGATCCAGACTGATGGAAGAGCTCCCATCTGGGACATGAGAATCTCATGGCAGAGGGAAAAAGAGCAAAGGCGGAACCTTGTGATGGCTTTTAGAGTTCCTGCTTAGATAAGGTACTTGACACTTCTTCTCATGTTCCATTAGTCAATGCAAGTCACTTGGCAGGGAGGTGTCCTCTATAGCAAGACACTGCGTGCCACAGATATCAGAAGAGATTTACAATCAATCCCCTTATCGGTGGGGGAGTGAGTAACGGGGAATAATAATACAGGTAACCACACACTTAAAGGGAGAATGTGGGAACGCAATTAGACCTTATCTTGTGAAACTGAACATTTGAATATACACTGACCCAGCAATGCCCAGAGAGCTTCTTGTATGAGATGCATGCGGGAATGTTTCTAGGAGCATGTTTGGTACAGCACAAAACCCCCAACAACTCAAACATCTTAAATGTCTGTAGACTGGTGAATGGATATATAAATTAGAAGACATTTACACAAAGGAATAGAAGGCAGCAATGAAAACGAGCAAATCTCAGCTATTTGGAACAACATGAATACATCTTAGAAACATATTAAGTGAAGTAAGCAAGTCTACAGAAGACTACACAGAGTTTGATTCCAATTTTATAAATCATTCTCATGTGAAAAAAATTACGCGAAACTTAAATGAATGATAAACACAAAAATCAAGATTTGGCTGCTTTGGGTTGGGGAGAGTATGGGGATGGGATAGGTGGTTACACCTTACTGGTGATGGTCTAGCTTCTAAGTTGGGTGGTGAGGTGGGGGGGTCATTTTCATACTATACATTTTAACACATTTGTTAGATTCTTTCGTCTCTATCAAATATTATGTTCAAAATGGAATTAGAAAGAGTGCAAAAGTAACAACTAGGAAAATAAATAATTATAAAAAAAGTTAAGAGTGATTATGGAAAAGAGCTGTCTTAAAAAGTGGGCTTTCTAGAAGCAAATTTGGTAAATACACTTTGGGGCAGAGTTCAGGGGCCTGGAACAGAAGGTGGGGCGTTGAGGGTTCTGGCCTCTCAGCACAGACACTGTGCAGGGGGCAGTTCACACCATCAGGCCTCCCCATGCCTGGGGGAGGATCAGCGTCCTCACTGGCCCCAACATCATGCTCATTAGGCCACTTCGGGGACTGAGATGCCCGGAGGCACCCTGCATATGGGCCTGAACATTCCAGATCTAAAAAGGAAGGTCCACCACCGTGGATGAACACACCTGGCCACTGGGTTTGTCCAACAGGTGTCTTGATTTAACTGCCCCTGAGTTTGGTCCTCTCTGGGTGTATAGAGAAGGCTCCATTCTGGCCCTGTAAAGTTGAAGACATCCCACCCAGATGGCTGGCAGAGTTGGCCGCTGCTCTTGGTCACTCCCATGCAATGCTGACCACCCCAGTGAAGCTGCATTCTTCTGGAAGAGTCTCTGATCTGCCTTCCAAACTCAGGGCAGGGGAAGGAAGCTTCAGATTGCATATTATGGATCCCTAGTAAAATAGCCCAAGAGCACCTGCCCCCAGATGTTTCACCACCTTCCTGGGCAGAGCAAGTTATATTACTGAGGGAGGGCTGCCTGCTGCGGTGACTCTGGGGGCCCAGGTGGTCTGAGTCTACTCCCTCAGAGAGAGGGAGAGAGAAGGGCGCTGTGGGGAGCCTGGAACCAGAGCATAGGTGAGACCTCCTGAACCTCCGAGTGAGGGGAAGCCTACCCACACCAGCGCTCGCTGAGCTTCCTTGCCCACCTGTGGAGCACGTGCCACATCTGCCGTCTGCCTCCTGCTGGGGGGCGTGCTTGGAGATCTCTACACATTCAGGCTCATTCACCTCATTCATTTTAGTTTGGTTGCTTCTGGTTACAAGTAATAGAAGCCCATAAAAAATGGATTTTTTGTCCATTTGCATTTATATAGGAGTAGGTATAGCTTTAGGTGAAACTTGGTCCAGGAGTCAAAAAAATATCGCAGAGCCCTCCCCTCTCTCATCTCTTCTTGGCTCAGCTTCCCAGCGTTGGCTTTATTTCAGAGAGACTTCTCACCACTCCTAGTACCCAGGGTTCTCCCAGAGCTTCTGAGGCTCCATTAAGGTCCAGCAGGAAAGAAGAAACTTCTCAGTCCCTGTTCCTATTAGAAGCCCTGAGGCTCATCCTGTTGGGGCTGGCTTGGTCACATGCCCCTTCCAAGCCAATCACAGTGGCTGGGGAATGGGATGAATTGATTGGTGTAGCCAGGTCACAAGATCTCCTCAGGGCAGGGGATGGAGTCAGCATCCCCAGAACCTGTGGATTTTCAATAGAAATCCAGGACTGTGAGGAAGAAGGAAGGGGGATTGGATGCTCAGAGGGTAGGTAATCCACAAACAATCACTTCCTGTCTGCTGATGCTTATGTTAGTCATTTTGGAAGAGCACCTTACCCCTTAAAGATGTTTATATGCCATACGGGTGGTAAAGGTATTTTTCCCTGTGGTTGTTTGCCTTTTAAATTTATGTTTTTAAAAAACCTTTCTTTTTAACTATGGTCATTTTCAAGCATACACAAAAGCAGAGTGAATAGAATATTGAACGCCTCCCTGTACACATCATCCAGCTGCAGCCATTGTCTTACGTTGATTTTTGTCTTTCGGAAGTTTCACATTTGTACATAGTTCAATCTTGTTCTTTTCTACTGTAGCTCCTCCCAGTATTTGTAGTTGTGTTTAGAGAGGAGTTAGATAAATATTCAGTTACATTTCTTCCTAGGTTTGCTTTTTTGAATATATGCTGTGAAGTGAGACTCTTTTTTTTTTTTTCTTAAAGAAGATGTTGGGGGTAGGAGTTTATTAATTAATTTATTTACTTTTGCTGTGTTGGGTCTTCGTTTCTGTGTGAGGGCTTTCTCTAGTTGTGGCAAGCGGGGGCCACTCTTCATCGCGGTGCATGGGCTTCTCACTATCGCGGCCTCTCTTGTGGCGGAGCACAGGCTCCAGACGCGCAGGCTCAGTAGTTGTGGCTCACGGGCCTAGTTGCTCCGCGGCATGTGGGATCCTCCCAGACCAGGGCTCGAACCCGTGTCCCCTGCATTAGCAGGCAGATTCTCAACCACTGTACCACCAGGGAAGCCCTGTGAAGTGAGACACTTAACAGGATTTCCCCCCAGGTATCCAATTTCCCCAGGTCTGTTTATTGAATCATCCATCCTGTTCTCACTGATTTGTGAAGCATCCTTGATTTGATATTAAGTTCTCGCATGTACCAATATCTGTTTCCGGCTACATATACTGTTTTATTGACCTGTGTGTTCTTGCACTAATACCGACGTTTTAAATTTTATAGATGTATAAATAAGTTTTCATATCCAGTACGCCTAGTTCCATCACTATGTTTCTTTTTTCAATATTTTCTTGCCCAACTTTATTCATTCTTCCATATGAAACTTAGACTCATTTTTCCAAGTTCAAAAAAAATTCCCTTAGGATTTTTATTAGAATTGGTTAAAGTTCTGTGTAAAGTTGGAAACATGAACACTTTCTTCATAGTCAGTCTTCAAACATAGAAATACGACATATCTTCCCATTCATTCAGGTCTTGTAAGTCCTTCTGTAAAAATGCATAGTGTTATCTCCTGCGAGGGCCATTCCTGGGTTGTTTATGTATTTTGCTTTGTTTATGGATGAGAAATTTAAAACTTCTCATTTTATTTTCTTTATCCATTCTCTATGACTTTTTATTTTCATCAACTTTGAGTCACTCTGAGGGGTTTAGACCATCCTTGCTAGGAACCCACCACCCAATCTGCCAGAGGTTATATTTTGCTCTAAAAGTGAAGTCGCTTGAGCACTTACGTACAGAGGAAAGAGCATGAGATTTGACACCAAGGCAAGCCTGAGCTCAAGTTCCTGCTCTGCCCTTTATCGAGCTGTGTGTCCTTGGGCAAATTTTCATTTTGCTTCTCCGAGACTCATTTTCCTTATGTGCAAATGGCTGTGGGTTGTTTTCTTCATTTTTTTTTTTTTTTTTTTGGATTCGCGGGCCTCTCACTGTTGTGGCCTCTCCCGTTGCAAGCTCAGGCTCCGGACGCGCAGGCTCAGCGGCCATGGCTCATGGGCCCAGCCGCTCCGCGGCATGTGGGATCCTCCCAGACTGGGGCATGAACCCGTGTCTCCTGCATCGGCAGGCGGACTCTCAACCACTGCGCCACCAGGGAAGCCCTGTTTTCTTCATTTTTAATCTATTTCCTTTTACTGTGTTTGCTTCCAAACTTCTCTTTCTTCTCTAGGGGAAGCTAAACTTTTTGGGAACAGAGGCTATTCCTCCTCCAGGGCTGCATGTGGGGAACATAATCAGGTAACAGTGGATGTTCAGTACCGCCAGGCAGTACTGATTGAAGAGTCTAGCCCATGGACACCATTTTGGTTCATTCAAAACAGAAGATACTTTGAAATAACCTGGAGCCCTCACCTGGATTATGGTTCTTTAATAAATCTTTGAAATATGGATAATAGTTAATGAGATTAAAATAGTCAAGATTTACTGAGTTCTTAGCATGTGCCAGGCACCAGGTGACCACAGTCCAGGCGTGATCTCATGAGACTGCACAATACTTTGGTGAGGAACGAGTGATCCCCATCTTAGCTCAGAGATTCTAAGAAGCTAAGATCATGCAGCCAGGGTGTGGTACAGCCAAGACTCAAACCAGCTCAGTGCCCTGAGTCTGCGCACCCTGTCATCTTCCTTACGACAATCAAGTAGTGTGTTAACAGTGCCTCAGGCCTTGGAGGTAGCTGGAAATACTGGTCTTGTCCCCTCCTTCCCTCTTTGATTGTGTTAGTTGCCTTCTCTTTCTCCCTCCATTTTAAGCATCCCCAGAACAAGACTGTGATCAATACTTCTCGCCATGGTGTTAAACTCTTACCCATCAAGTCTTTGCCACCCCTTGCTTTCTTGACAAGAGTGGCAGTCTGGCGTGACCTTGAAGGACTGCTGGGTGGTTGAAAGGGGTATGGAGTATGAAGGGGGTACAGAGAATGGGGGTAGAGGACTCAAAGCCTGGCAGGATGACACTGGGGAAAGAGCTCTGGATGTATTTGTGCCCGGGTGTGTGGGTGCATGTGAG